AAAATAGAATAAAATATGATCAGGAATTATGGTTCTATTTATATATATAGATATCATTGAAGCTAGGCATATAGGGTAGGCAAATTCGTACAGTTCATTGTTATTGCTAATGTTGAGTAAGGTAATAACCAGCAATGCAAATATATCTTAAATCTCGAGGAATTTTGAAACAATCTAGGGTTTTGAACACATCCTTTGATTAAATCTATCTTAATTTTATTTATTGAAAATAATGGGGTAGAAGTTCAAATGCCTTTTTTTTAATTATATGTTTAACCCAACTAATAAAATACAAATAATTAGAATTTCATGCCCACTCGGCCGGAGAGAACTATCGTTGGCAAACAGCTCAACTTTGTTTCTTTTTTAATTTTGATTTAGTTGTAATTTAATTTTTAAATTTTGATTTATTATAACTCGATCCTTATAATTTTAACTTGATCAAAATTTAATTCTTGAATTTTGACTCTAATAACTCATTCCCTATAGTTTTAATCATTTAAACATTTGTCCATATATTTTATTAAATAAATTTGTATAATTGATGAGTTTTAAAATTAATCATTAGAATTTATCTGGATCAATATATTCTGAGACACTAAGATATAATGATTTCTAGAACTAGGTACACATGAGTCCTACCTCTATGGTATCAGAGCTACTATGGTTATAAGTCCTCGCCCTGAAGAGCCAGCTAGATTTATGAAGAGTTCTCACTATATGAGGCAGTGTCAAAATATAGGCTCTTATCCCCAAGATGTCCTGTGGCTAGGGCCCGCAGGGTTATAGTTGTTAAGAGGTAACAAACATAAAATGTGATTCTTAGGTATCTAGGATTGTCACGGCATAAAGTTAACCTACTCCTATGATATTAAAGCCAAGTTTGTGTAGGCTTTTATCTTTATCAATAATGGAATATTTTAGACTTTTTTTTTTAGCAAAAGTTGACAAAATTTTATATTTTAGTTTAAACAATAAGATATTTTTTTCAATCAATGGATTGTTATATATATATATATAAAGATTATAATAATTAAATATTAAATATTTATACTTGATTAAAATCTTAACTCTATTATTATAAAAATAATTTGATTCAATTTAGTTTTCTTTTTGTAGTTTACAATAACCAATTTTAAAAATATTGTTGAGGTTTGAAATGTGGATCATCTATCAATATCTGTATGTTTTTAAAATATATAAGAATTTTTAAAAGAATGTTAGACATATAGAATTAGTATTATCAATAAACTAGTGTGTGGCCCATGTGATGCACACAATGTGAAAAAATAAAAAAAAATAAAATAAATAATAATAGTTAATAATTATTCATAATATAAGATGTCACTTAGTGAGAATAAATTTTCTAGTGTTAGTTACAAAGCACAAGCTAATTCCCAAATAAAATTTATAAATATCACAATAATATTTCTTATTAACTTTTAAATAAAATAATTTGTGACACACATGATATTTTTAGGTATACTTTTTATAATTATAATTATGATACAATTAAGGTCAATTAAATTTCAAAAAATATTTAAAATAAGTTTGAAAATGATAAGCCAATAATTAGTCTTGTATTGATTTAAAAAAATTTAAAATGGTTCAAAATAATTTACATCAAAAATAAATTTCATATTGATTTGTTTTTCACTAAATTTTATGAATGATTATTATATTTTATTTGTTTTAAAAGGACTTGCTATAAATGAAAAAGGAATGAATATAAGGATAAAAAGATTACAGTCACCAAAAAATAATTTAGAAATATTGAATCTTTACTAATTTAAATACATTTAACTATTTTTATATGTTCTATACTAATTTATTATTTTACTTTTAAAATTGACTTTACTTCTTATGATACATCAAACAATTAAGAGCACGTGAATTGATTAATTAATATATATATATATATATATATATAATCACATACCATAATGAGAAATGCCAAATGTCATCTAGAATCAAATTACACCCACACAATTTGAAGCATGTAAAATACATTTCCTTCAAAATATTACATTCTTTTCACTTGCACATATAATAAAAAATTGTGATTAAATGACATTCAATACCAAAAATAAAAGGGGCATGGCCTAATTTCCTCACACTTGTTTTGGAAATGAAATAATCACAATAATTTAGCCATAGAAATACTAAATTATAATGAATAAGAGATAAGATATTACTGGATAAAAGAATAGAGCTAACTATTAAAGTTCAAGTGGATCTAGAGCTCTTATTGTAAGACTTTTATTTGGATTATTCTTCATCATTGTTAAAGTGATCAAGAACAACTCTCCTTAGGCCTTTCATTTGACACTAATGAGATGATAATTTTGAAAATTTCGCAAGAATTTGTGTGAAGGTGAATGGGCACTCTAGAAAAAAGGAAGAAGAAATCTGAGTACAGATGTTGCAATGGAAAAAAGGTTTTAGGAGTTTTAAGGTTTAACTTTAAATTTGAATTATAGGGAGGCGGAAAAGGTGCAAAAAATATAGGGGGTGAAGACACCAATGAGATAATAATTTTGCAAATTTTGCAAGAATTTGTGTGAATATAAATGAGCACTCTAGAAAAGGTAAGAATAAATTTAAGCACAGAAGTTACAATGGGAAAAAAAGTTTTAGGAGTTTAAAGGTTTAACTTTGAATTTGAATTACAAGGAGGCAAGAAGAGTGGAGAAAATATTGTAAGGGTGAAGATGTGAGGCGGGTTACTGGAAAACCCTTGGGTTGGATTTTAGTTTTCTACCCTTCCAAAGTTTTTGCTTTGTTAAAAAAATATTTTAAAAAAATTGGATACAAATAATTTACTTATTATTTTTAAATTATAATTTTAAATTTCATTTTTTTATGCAATTGAAAACATGAATTTCATTTATTATTTTTAAATTAAATGTGAAATTATGAGTAAGTTAATGGAAAGTTGAGATAGTGAATAGATATTTGGGGTAGGGTAATTTTATTTATTTTTAAAAATTTAAAAATAAATAAATAAAAATAGAATCAAGGACATGTGTCGTCGTGGTTAGATATTGCTTGTGGTGCATAATTTTCTTTTTATTTTTGAATTATAAATTTGTAATTATAAATAAATAAGTTGATGAGAAGTTGGGATGATGTAGAAATATTTAAAAGGTGAAGTAGTTTTATTTATTTTTTAAAATTAGAAAATAAACAAAGCAAATTAGAATCAATGGCATCGTTAGATCTTGCTTGCAGTACACAATTTCCTTATTATTTTTAAATTATAAACTTCAAAGTGTAAATAAATAAGTTAATGAAAACTTGGGATAATTTTTTTCATTAATTTTAAAATTAAAATTTTTATTTTTTAATTATTTAAAATTATAATTTTGAAATTATGAATATGTAAATGGAAAGTGAGATAATGGGGAGATGTTTGGATATAAGATAGTTTTATCTATTTTTAAAATTTAAAATTTAAAATAAATAAATTAAAATAGAGTTAGAGGCATGTGTCGACATCAGATGTTGCTTGCGGTTATACTTTTTTAGGAAGTTGAGATAATAAGGAGATGTTTGAAGTAAGTGGAAAATAAACAAAGTAAATTAGAATCAATGACACCATTTGATGCTGCTTGCAGTACATAATTTTCTTACTATTTTTAAATTAGAAACTTGAAAATGTAAATAAATGAGTTAATGGAAAGTTGGGATAATTTTTTGATTAATTTTAAAGTTAGAATTTCAAATTTTATTTATTATTTGAAATTATAATTTTGAAATTATGAATATGTAAATGAAAAGTTGAGATAATGGAGATATATTTGGAGATAAGATAGTTTTATCTGTTTTAAAAATTTTAAATTAAAAGATAGATAAAGTAAAACAAAGTTAGGGACACATGTCTTCGTTAGATGCTACTTGCAGTTATACTTTTTTAGAAAGTTGAGATAATGAGGAGATATTTGAAGGTAAGGTAATGTTATCTATTTTTAAAAATTAAAAATTAAAAAATAAATAAAATAAAATATAATAAGGGACATGTGTTGTCATTAGATGTTGCTTGCGGTTATGCTTATATATATATATATATATATATATATAAAAAATAAAGTAAAACAAAATTAGAGACACGTATCTTCATTAGAAATTGCTTGCGGTTATGCTCTTTTAAGAAGTTGAGATACTGTGGAGATATTTGAGGGTAAGGTAGTTTTATCTATTTTTAAAAGTTAAAATTTAAAAAATAAATAAAATAAAATATAATCAGGGACATGTGTCATCATTAGATGTTGCTTGCGATTCTACTTATATATATATAATAAAATAAAATATAATTAGAGACAAGTGTCATTATTAGATGTTGTTTGTGGTTTTACTTATATATAGATATCATCGAAACTAAGCATATGGGATAAGCACCTCCATACAGTTTGTTTTTATCGCTAATATTAAAAGAACTTAAATTTCCAGGAATTTCGAAACAATCTAGGATTTTGAGCATGTCCTTTGATTAAATCCATCTTAATTTTATTTATTTATTGAAAACAATGGGGTGGAAGCTCAAATGCCTTTTCTTTATTATATTTTTAGCCAACTAATAAAATAAAAATAATTAGAATTTCATGCCCACTCGATTAGAGAGAGCTATTTTTGGCAAACAACTCAACTTTGTTTTTTTTATTTATTTTAATTTAGTTGTAACTCAATCTTTAAATTTTGATTTGTTATAACTTGCAGTTTTTGAACTTTAAAACTAACAATTTAATCTCTATAATTTTAACTATGTAAACATTTGTTTTTATATTTTTAAAGGTAAAAGAATTGAGTTACAATAAGTTAAATTTGTGAAATCAAGTTATAATTGAATCAAAACTATGATAATCAAACCATTAATTTTCTTAAAAAAAAAAACAAGAAGTAGAAGTTGAAGTGCGCATACAAATAGAATAATAGATAACATATAATAGCAATGAACATAAAACAAAAGAAAAGCATGGAATAGCTAGCTAGAATGCCTACAAAGAGAATAGAAATTTGATAAATAATGCTTCTGCTAAAAATATGTTAATTAGCTAAAATGTAAATAATCTTGCTTGTTGTATATTCCAAAACCCACAAATGACATAACGCTCCATCGAGATCAAAGCAAGAATTTCTCCTCCTTTGTAGCCTCCTCAACAGCTCAAGCTTCGCATTCCTCGAGCAGAGAGCCTAATATAATTATGAAATAGCAAGCGAGCAGACAAATCAGGCTCATATGACACAGAAAACTTTTCCGAGGCTATGTCAAACTTAACCATCATATCATAATTATCTTCTTGTTTATCCTCTCTCTCTCGTTTCCATCCATACCATTCCATCTCTCCCCCCACAGTGATCGTGCTCGAATTCATAGTCACGTTATCCAGATCCTTCACAAACCCTATTTCCTTCCACAAATTTGTGCTCATTGAATACACTTCCACTCCATCAACCTTTTCATTCAACTCATCAACGTGAATCCTCACTATCTTGTAATCCTTAACTCGGAGACTAAAACCAAACCCTATGTACGAGTGTCCATTGGATTTGACAATACTATTTCCAGGCACATGTTTTACCTCTCTGGTTGTTGGATTCCACAGTAAAAGGGGATTATTAGGAGCCATGTCCTCGTCGTCGTCGTTGTCGTCGTCGCGATCGGTGAATTCAAGACAGAGCCAATCTTTGCAGGAATAGAAGATATTGACAGGAGTCAGAGAATTGATACAGCAAGGACCTGGAACACTGACATAATCAGAGGACATACGAGAGAATACAAAATGTCTCAAATATATGGGATTGGGGGGTTCTTGAGTGCGGGAGAGAAAATCTACGATGAAATATGGAGTCTTGAAGAGATTTTTCCAGTTTTTGCATACACATCGGAATCGGATTAGGGTTTTCAGAGGAAGCCTGCTAAGAATGTTGACGAGGATATCCTCTGAAAACACTACATCACCTGCCATTATACTAGCGGACTAAAATTGATATTTAAAATTGCAGGATAATAATTAGGTCGAAGATTACTCTTGAGCCTTGTGTGTGTATATATAGGAAGATTAAAAGAATTACATGAGTTGATTTAAATCTATTATCATAAAAATAATTCAATTTAGTTTTTTAGGCTCATCATATTGTTCAGATTTAAATGAGAAATGTAATTCATCTATATCTATATTTTACTAACATCTCGGAACAACCTTTCAAAAACATATCGGGCATATGGAATAAATATTATTTTATCACATAAGCATATGGGATAAATATATCTTAATGTTCATCATTATTGCTTTTTCTTTGCAAAAAAAACCATTAATGCAAATCGAATATATGATTAGAGTTTTAAATTTTATATGGAACTTTATTAATAGTATATTTTTTTTATCATTTACCGTTGATTGGAATTTCTCAAATTCATTCAGATTAAATTTTAATTACCATTAGAGCTTTGTTCTATTGAAATATGTATTCCCCACCACAGAACCACCAAAATACACACACAGACAAAAGACCCCTCAAAATAATTAAACTATGTTATTAGTGTATATTATTTTTGCCTTTATTAAATGTTAAAAAATTGATAAAAATAATTCTTTTTGTTTTTATTAGGAGATCGAGGTGAAAAAGTATCATTATATATATATATATATATAAATAGGATTTAAAGTTATGAGAAAATACCAAGTGTTTAATTTGAAATTTGCTGTAATTTTGTGCTTTGAGATACTTTTACTGCAATTCTATGATTCAAAATCAGGTTCAGGATTATTTATTATTTTTTAATTCATATAAAATATATTATTCAGATTTTGAGTTAGGTGTAGAATGAATTATTAATTTTTAAATGTATATAAAAATTATTTTACCTATTTGAAATTCAAAGCTGATTATATTTAAATTCAAATTAATATTTAGCTATTTAAGGTTTCTATCGTTCTTAAAGATAGGTAGAAAATCTAAATTTATATGATCAAGTGTATACACACATATATATATATATTGAAATTCAAATTTAAATTAATATCTATATGTTTAAATATTTAGAAAAAGAAATATGTAGTTGAGTACTTAAATATATCATCATGATTTCTGAAAATGAAATCATGAGTTTTAAATTTCAAATTAGATTATTTTAATTTGTTTAACCAGCAGCGGGAATATGAGGAAAAGAGAGAAAGGAGTGGAGAAATTCTTGCATGTTACTGGAAAGTTGGAACATACAATAAATTTCATTCGAAGGGAAACAATCTAAATGATGACGATTTGATTTAATTAGATACAAAGAAATTGGGATTAAAAAACTTATAAATTAAAGTTTATATGAATTTTAGGGAATCGGATATTCATTACACTTATATAATAAAAGATAATTAAATGGCTGGGTGGTTAACTAAGTATGGCCCCCACTTTCTCTCTCCCTATTCATCAGTATCTTTTTAATACTTACATGTATTTTCTTATTAAAAATAATATGAAAATCAATGAAATGATGTTAGATTAATGGTATTGGTGAGGATCCTACTCAATGATTCTAATTGATTGTGATCAAATTGATTCGTACATTTGGTTGGACAAGTTATGTTCTGCTTCGGGACAAGCGGACAACCTTTGAACTGAACTCTTCCTTGAGCACACACCATGGGTCCTAGCCTGCCAACATTGTCAAAATTGTCGATTGTGTTGGTTTTTGAATTTTTCTTTTCCCAAATGAATGTTGGTTTTGGATTCTGGAGTCTGGACGAATGATGCAAATGCATTCGTAGTCGGTCAGTCATTGGTTATTGTATTTGTATTCTGTTTGATCAGCTTCCAGTTCTAGGCACATTTTTATTATTTTCTCTCAATTCCCTTTCACTTGTCAATTTCTGAATGTTAAATCTATTTTCTCTAATTCTTCAGCTTAATTATTACATTGTTATTTTTTAAATTAAATCAATTAAACTTTTATCTAAATCACGTTAAAATATACTTTACAGAGATGAATAGAGTTTAAATAGCTCAATCTTTTGTTTAAATTTTTTTACAGCATAATGCTATTTTGACAAGACAAAATACTTGACCCTGCTTCCCATCACAGCTTGGGCTTTTTGGAGGCCCATGATTGGTCCGAGGAGGCTGACATTTTTGGCTTGAGCTACATGAAACCTGAAAATATAAGAAGGATTAAGGTTGTGGGCGGTAAAAGAAGTGGTGAAGGAAGTGCCAAAACAAAAAGTGAAGATATGGGCCCCCAATATTAAATCGTTTGATAGCACCTATGGTCCAATTGATTTTCATTCAGATCTTTTATAACTCCTCAGGGCCCATTTGGTTTAAATAATCCCAGAGTGGAATTTAATAGTAGAGAATGCAATGAAATGGAATGATAATTTTGGCTGAAATGGTCAAAACGATTATTGTCATCACTTAGGTTAGGACATTGGCTGGAGTGTTTCCATAATGTTCTTGACTCAATACTGTCTTCTTGATCACCCTATTGATTTTGTATGAGTAGGAGTGAGAATTTTGAAATCTAAGACCTCTAATCATTTGACTTTGTGCGTTTGCTTAAAGAACTAATCTGATTTTTTTTTTTCCCTTTCGGTTTCTATGTGTGCTATTATTGACCTGCAGAATCCGTTAGTGATTTATTATTTATAACAATCCTTATGGAATCAAATGAGGTTTCAAAACATACAAAATGAACTTTCTTTTTGGTCCTGCTGCAAGCAACTTTCTCTCCTTAAATATCAAACGTCTCGTTACTTGAAGATCATTTTTATCCTTTGTTTAAATTTCCTTGCCTTGCACAGTTTATTTGTACTTATGGATAAACTTTTCATTCATTATATGCAAATAGTGTTAGGTTTTCCTACGATTGTGTTATTGTCATATTTCAACTGGCCATCTTAAAGAATCTGTCATAATTAATTATGCTCTGATGAGTGGGGTGTCAAAACATTTTCCTACAGAAGAAGCTGCAGTATGTCGTATGCTTTTACTTTGCTCTTAGCATATTACTCTTCAGTGCAGATTTTGGAGTTATAGAGTATATCCATTTTTTTTTTTAAATTACATCCAGAAGCTTTGAACCCTGTACCATTGCCTAGATCCCTCCTGTACCAGCTAAGCTAGCCTTCATGGAATTAAAAATTAAAAATTCTAATCACATTGTAACACCATAGAGGTAAAGAATGAGACCTGTTTTTGTCTCTATTCCAAAAGTAGTACACTGAATATAGTCCTCGAAAGAAATGTTGATTTGTAAGAGATTCTAAATTAGCGATAATGTTAAGAGACTCGCCTCATTTAAATAAAAAGGACCTTTCTAAGGTGTTTTTTTTTTCATTGATCTTTAAAAGGGTGTGAATATACTTGTGATACCATTTTGTATTAGATAGTTTCTTGCCTATATCAAGTATATAAGAGTAATAGATAGTTTCTTGCATTAGGAAAGTTAAAATCAAATGAATGATCTTGAAGTCTAAAGATCATCCGATAATGGAGGTGGCCATAATAGCTTCTGGCTATTGTTCAGCACCTTAAATCTAGATCAAAACTTTCAATTTGATAGAGAGAGTGGAGTCTGTGAGCTTAACATTTAAATCAGGGGCTATGATGAGGACTACACTTCCTCGGTTAAGGGTGGTCAACATGGCTTTGATCAGGGCATTTTCATATGACTTGTTATAGGTAGTATCAAGCAAAGTTATCCTAGCTATAGCTATCAAACCCTTAATTTCTCCCATGAAGGGTTAGAACTAGACGGATGACTCCAACATGAAGGTGAGTATATCATTGGTTGATCCAGGTATAACACATTGATCAAGTTTAGACGTTTGAAAAACTTCTTTTGGTTAGGGCTGTGAATTAGATTTCTGATTCCTAGTGAAAGAGTTTTCTCCATGATAAAGCTTATAAGGGTTAAGGAAAGGAAGTTCTATAGGAGGGACACAAGTATTTTTTGAGACAATAGAATGCTCAATAAGGTTTTATATTTTTTTTAGAGAGTTGTCTTTTCATAGAGGAGGGAGCCTGATTTTAAAAAAAAAAAAGCTGAAGAAAGATGAACAGGTTCAAGAGAAATAGAACTTTATGAGATTTCACTCATGATTTTCGAACTCTCCTTACTCACTTTTCATCTTTAATATCTTCTTTTTGTCAATAAGATTGATGGCTCTGATACCATCAGAATTAAGAAAAATTTTAAACCTTAATAACTTTGTCTTAAAATTTAATAAACTTTCACCTCCATCCCCTAATAAAAACAAAAAGAATTATTTTTAACAAATTTTCCTAACATTTAATAAAGGGAGAAAGGTAGAAAATGAACATAGAAAATAGTGAAGTGTTATAAAAATGACCTAATATGATTCCTTCCTTTCTTGTCATACACTAATAATATAGTTTAATTATTTGGGTGGCCTTTTGTTTTTGTGTGTGTTTTTTTGGGGGGGGTTTTGTGTGGGGAATACAGTTTTTTATAGAAAAAAGCTCTAAGTGTAATTAAAATTTAATTTGAATGAATTTTAGAAATTCCAATCAATGGACAATGATAAAAAAAATACTATTAATAAAGTTCCATATATAATTTAAAACTCTAATCATAAATGTTTCAAGATTTTCCAAAATTTAACATACAATTTGCATTAATGGTTATTATTATTTTTCAAAGCAAAAGCAATAATGATGAATATTAAGATATGCTTATCCCATATGCTTATGTGATACAATAATATTTATTCCATATGCTCCATATGCCCAATATGTTTTTGAAAGATTGTTCCCGGATCTTAGTAAGATATAGATATAGATGGATTACATTTCTCATTCAACTTAACAATGGTTTTAACATTGGTGAGCCTTAAAAACTAGATTGAATTATTTTTATGATGATAGATTTAATAT